GCCGCAAGCCGCGCCTGCCGCCCGCTCCTGACCTCACTGTCTTCCGTGTGCCCGGACTGCAGCTCAAGGTAAAACAAAACTATGAAATAATAACTATTACACAAAAACATTAAACCATTATATCTTTACTAAAAAAATTTCAACAAAAAGTTTATACCTACAACATACTTTAAGCCATTTTTTTCTTGAGTTAAGTAAATTGAAAAAAAAAAATCGCTCTTCAAGAAAATGGCAAAATACAAGTCAATGGTAAAGAAATATGGTTGCTATCGTGACTTTTTTCATTTTGAGTTGTGGTATTTGCAATTGAAAATTTTGCGGAATGTAAACAATAAAATAAAGTCTGATGTCTTGTCTTAAATGTCCAGGTGCATTACGAGTCCAAAACCCTGCCGGAGGAGGTGTCGCTGCCGCTGGGGCTGGCGGCGCGCAAGCTGGCCACCAAGAAGGCGGCGCTCTTCGCCTGGATCACGCTGCAGAGCATCCCCGAGGAGACCATCATCAGCCCGCACATACTGGAGTTCCTGGAGCAGACGCTCGAGCCCATACCCACAAAGGCTTCCTTCTCAGCGCCAACACCAGGTTTGAAATTTTATTTTCATTTTGAATACTGTTCTAAAAGAAAAGTGTACAATCAGGGAAACTGGCGGTGGTCTAAAAAGTAATAGTCGTTTAACCGATTTTTCCGTATTAAGACGACATGGAATAATAACCAATCGGTTTTTAAAGCATATTAGAAAAGTGGTATGGTAATAACTTTATCTGTCCTTTAACTCACTGTTATTTAATTATTTGTTAGAGATGGAGTCTGCAAATACAAGGCGAAACGGAATATGCATTTTTTTAACATTCCTACTGAGATAACCAGAAAAATATTGACATGAAAAAAACAACCATAGAGCTAAAAAAATAAAAGTTCTATATTGTCATCCTGACCTAGGGACTATCCTAAGTTAGGGCAGCCAGAAGTTAGGGTGGAGCCTACTCCAGCCCCTCAGTGCGGACGTATAGTGGTGATGGAGTGTAGATTGTGGTGGTCCTTGTGCAGAGGGCGAGAGCTCGCCGCGCGCGCGCTCGGGGGCGTCGTACGGCCAATACGTGTACGCCTCCTTCCCCGTGGACGTGATCGTGCACTTCCACACGCGGCCCTCCGCCTTCCGCTTCAGCTGCCTGCCCGCCTCGCGCGTCGAGTGCCTGCTGCAGCTGCCCAGCCTGCGCATCGTCTTCAGCTCCAAGCGCGCCGGCGACGAGTCAGTGCACCACCACACCAACACCCCACCAACACCCTACCTACTGACACGCTAGTTCCTACCGCGATATTTCATTTGGTTATAGCTTGGGTTAAGAAGCTCTAAGCTTTTTTATGTAAAGTGAGGTGGCCAACGAATAAGCGGTCACCTGACTCCAAAATAGAAAAGCGAACGCTACCCATAGACATCCTCAATTACAGATGCATTGCTTACCTTTACTAGACGTAAACATAAAAAGGATATTTCCCCTGCTATGCGGCTGCACCGTCAATTCCACTTTCTCTTCCCATCCCTTAAAAATAAAAAGGTATAAAGGGAAAGGAACTAAAGACAGGTCTCTAGCACTCATTAGTCACTGACAATTCTTGTCTTGTACGATATGGCCATTTGTATACTAATTCCGCCATTATGGTGTTTGGCAGTAATTGGTGTGCCATTATTTAATTTGACTAGCAAGTGTATACTATATAAATGCGTGTTTATGATGACAGGGAAATGGCGGAGCCCGCGGTGGCGATGGGCGGGCTGAGCGTGACAGGGTGCCTGGCGGACTTCTCAGTGTACATCTTCCACCCCTACGGCGGCAAGAAGTCCAGCCTCAAGGAGGCGCAGTGGTCGCCCCTCGCCGACACCGAGCGCAAGGACTCGCTCAGCGTCAACGTGGAGTTCGTCAAGTTCCACCTCTCCCGCTCCCGCAAGCTGGACTTCCACACAGACCAGGACCACTCCAAGGCCACCGTTAGGTTCTCAAGTGAGTGCCATTTCGTGTCAGACAAAGATGGGTAACTTATAAACAGTAGGTGCAAAAGAGATAGACATATACAGCGCATGTAACCGATGTATGTTGGCAGCGATCGTCGACGTGGGCTCCGCGTGGTTTAAATACGACATGCGGCGTCTGGGCGAGATCCTCGCGTTCCCGAAGGCGTGGTACCGGCGCAGCATCGTGCGCCGCATGTTCCTCGGCGACGTCAGCGTGCACCACGACAGACACGACAGGCACGAGCGACACGACAGGCATGACAGACACGACCGCCATGACAGACATGCGCACGCGCAGACAGGGTTAGTGAAAACCTTTATGGTTAATTGTTTCGGAAAATGTTCCCTTCGTTTGGTATTGAAAATAACCCGTGTTCCAGATCAAGCAACAACGCCCCCGTGTCGCCCGTACTGCCGCAGAGAGAGAAAGCGAAGACTGTTGAAACACCAAAGCTTAAAGGTAACTCTTACAGCTCTTATTATAAAACTATAAACTTAAGTCACAAAATATTAATATGACGTGTATTATTTCAGAGAGTACAGGAGACAGTGGTGGTGGAGGGGCGGCGTGGGAGACACTGGTGCTGTTCGCGGTCAACTTCACGCGACTCAACGTGCACATGAACATGGGTAACGTCATGGGCAATGTCAGGTCGGTGCACCCACACTTAGTGTGTACTCAGTTAGGGCAGAGTGTAGAGTGTGTGTGTGTGTGCAGCTGGCAGAGCCGGTCGCTGGGCGCGTCGGGCCGGCTGAGCATCGGCAGCACGCACCGCCGCCACATGGTGGTGCGCGTCGAGCTCGGCGCCTCCGCGCTGGACGCGCGCGCCGGCATCGTCGGCGGCGCCATCTCCCTCGCCGCACTGCGCGCACACCGTAAATACTGATAAACTCATTTGTAGCACTCACATGCTAGCTAAATATTACAAGATTTTTGTTACTTTAATGTTTCTTTTAAAAATTCCAGATAAGCTTGAACAAGTATGTGCTATGCTATAGTTGAATAACGGGATTAAAACCCTAGACCCCAACATCGGTAGTCTGTATACCAAAACTATTGGCGATAAAGATCCAATAATGTTAAAAATGTGTCAAATATAGGTTTTTCGATATTATCTATTCAATGTTTTATTAACAAGATTACATATTTACGTTATATTTTGCAGTGCACATAGAGGAGGAGCCGGGCTGCAACCCGGGACACGTGCTGGGCGTGCAGCTGGCCGCGCTGGAGCTGCGCCTCGAGTACATGGGCACGGCGGCGCT